CTATCTATCTATCTATCTATCTATCTATCTATCTATCTATACACTCATTTATATCCACATTGAGTTCTCTCATACATGGTGACCTACGCACTCTTTAGTGAGGATAGTGGACACCAGCAACCTTTAGGAGGCAAAAGGCCGATGGTCTCGACTTGATGAACTGTCGACAGTCGCAGGCGTCTGCAAGAGAAACACGTCTTCATGGGAATCCAAGAGGAGCAACCACACCAGCAGCAGCAGCAAAGCCCGGAAGATCTCTTAGCCCTTCCAGCTCAAAAAATCCCCAGCTGCTGCCATGAAATGACCTCAAAACACCTCAAGACTTTTTTGAGTGTGCTGGTGTTCTGTTCATACATCGGACCTTCCCACGCTCACGATCGGTCAATTTTCACCCCAAAGTTGATAGCAGCACTTTTGCTAATTCGTTGTAAACAACAACCTCCTATGTTGAAGGCTACTGCCTGCCAGTATGGTTCATGCCTTCGTGCTATCGAAATCTATTTTTTTGCTGCATCCCATCGTGCGATCCCATCGTGCGATCCCATCGTGCGATCCATGCCGGCCAAACCTGGAGTGAGTGATCCGGTTCCCTTCAAGAACAGCACAGTCCAACCCAGTCCCCAGTCCATTTCGAAGCCGGTCCGGTCCGCCAGGTCCTTCCGCTTCGGCACCCAAATCACTTCGAAGCCTTCCAAGTCCTGCAAGGCGAAGCGGATCTTCTCCTGGAAGGTGGCGAGACATGAAGGGTGCGAGTGAGAACACACCGGTTCTCCAACGGGTTGCTAAAAAGCGTCAAATGTTAAAGGAAGGTGACTCACTGCCTGAGAGCTAGCTAGGATATGTATCTTGTGGTTCCAATCCACCAGAACGTGCTGCAGGCATCACCCTGATTGGACTCTCAGGGCTTTCCAGGGTAGCCTTGCAACAACAAAACCATCCGTAGTTGGGTTCATAATGGCTCTGGACATCTCTGGACTGCTTGGTTGACTTGCAGGCGGATTCTATAGTGTGTGAGGACTTGAAGGCATGTACACTCCTACATGCTCCTACAACCTCAGCGACTCCTGAATCGGAGTTACGCTTGTCCATCAAAACTGGGGTTCAGTTCTGTGTGCAGTATATTAACAATCACGTTGGCTGAAACATCCTGTGGCTCGGCCAAATAGTCTGCTGTTTGCAAAGAGGACCCCACAATAAGTTGCCATGAGTTGCCGGTTACCCATCAGTTTTCATCATTCAATTGCATCAGTGGCACGGTACCTCAATCCTCTCCACCATCCACCAACCGATCTCCAAACCGATGGCACGTACGACGCAACAACGCAATCCCATGCGGTCCGGTCGCACTCCTGGCTACCGATGTTCTCCGGCAGAAACTCCAAGGTGCAATCAGCCGCTTTGGCCCCCAGCACCTGAGCTGTTTCGCTGCGGGTCAACACCTCGTAGGCGTGTTTCGGCTTTTTGTTGGCTGGTTGACAGGGAGATGGGCTGATATGGGGATGGGTCAAAACCCGACCAACCTATAGGTATCCTGGTTTTGACCCAGAGCTATTGAACTAGGGATTCCACTGGAAGTGAGATGAGGGCAGCATTCCGATCATCTCACTAGCTGACCCTGGCACCCAATTGGCCGGCTCGGAGGATCCACCCTTCACACCTCCTATACCAACTTCGAGATCCTCACACCAACTTCGAGCTCATCAATATCCTGATCGGTCATCGCATGTGACAATCTTTATCTATTTTTCATTATTTTTCATTATTTCTCCATGCTCAGCGGTTGCATGCGGTTGCCATGATCGAGGGAGTCAGGGAGAAAACTCACAAATCCCAACGCCTCAGGCGGGGCAAATGCGCCCTAGTGAACAGTTCAAACAAATAACGGAGTGGTGATTCTCTGGCGAGAACACACAGGTTTGCATAGTGTCTGGTTGATACCAAAGTCATCCAAAGTCCTTGTCCCAATCATTCCCAATGAATGAATGTGAATTCGGATGGGCTTGGTTTCACAGCTTAGTAATTTCAAAGCTTGACAAAACTCAACTCAAACCCCCGAAAGGCTCACCTGTTTTTCAAGGCCCTTGGGGAATCTGATTCCAAATCCCTTGGAACGACTCAAATCCGGTCATTTCGATGAGTTACTCCTTTGGTCACTGAGGGCTGCCGAGGGCACCCAAACCGCTCCTGGCACGAGGATTGCGGCGGTTGGTGAATCGAGTGCCAATGCTTCACTGGAAACAGGGGTCAGGTCAGACATTTTGGCTAAAAACACACATCCCACAAATTCACATCAAAGATGACACAAGCCAATCTCTTCTCCACATCGAAGAAACACGCCAGAGGTCTGGAAAAAAAATAACCCACACACACAGGTGTTGCTGAGTGGTGTCGATCATGATTGTCATCTGTTCCATTTGGTGGGGTGTCTTGGTTCTGCGGGTGTCCACTCCCATGGCACTGGACCATGGGAGTAAGGACTCCATCCGGATGGTCGGTCAGGTTGTGTCTACTTCCCCCTGTCAAACAGGTTTAGGGTGTACTCGGTATCGTGACACAATTTGGATGTTTGTTGGATATGGATGTCCTTCATACAACGCCACACAACTCCAATTCCTTTTTCGGGGTAATTTGTGATTTTCGCATCCATGAAATTGCCTTGACCCAGCACCTTGCAAACACCAGGTGTGTCTCAAAAAGAGTTGTACCCCAAAGCACGAGGTTTTCAAACGCTATTCCTTATTTGCAGATCTTTGGAGAGGATTGCTCTTCTACTAGCTATGCTGATAGAAGAACAAGTCAAGCTGAGTCAAGCTGCAAAGCACCACCAAAAGAATGTCCGAGCCACCCAAAGGGGAATAGCAAGAAGCTAGTAAAGGTTGGAGGCCATCGCTACTAGGGTGGAGGCCATTGCTACTAGTAGCAACCCCTAACACGACAGCACCACCACTTTCGCCTTGTAAGGCGACCGGACCACCGCGATACTGGTCAGCGCGATCTGCCGCGGTGTCTGAAAGGCGTCGGTGTGCACCTGGACACATCGCGCTTTGGACCAGCCATGAGAGGCCTATAGAACCAAGAAAACTGCTATGACCCAAACAATCCAAACAAACCCACTGGTCACTGAAGTCCAACAAAAATCATCTGATATCCTTGGCCCTAGTGAAGTCAAGTCAAGGAAGTTCCCGGCTTGCGCCTGTCTTTCGTTGGGCGACCAACTTGTGTTTGCCCATCAAATGGACTCCCATATGGATTCATAAGGTAATATCTGACCAAGTCTTTTCCAACCGAAAGTAATTAGATCGCCCAAAGAATGGTCGGTGGTCAGATACCCAAGTCAGTGGTTGAATGTTCCTTTGCCGGAATCTGAATTTGGTGTTCTGTAACCACTAACCGTCACTAACCTGTTCTGATACCGGAACCGCCCGTGTCGCCTGTGGTGGTCGTTGGGCTCGCTTGGGCAAAGCACCTTGAGATGAAGAGAGATTCGAAATGGCTCGAGGAGATTCGCGGTCTACTGTTGGGTTGTATCTCTGAAAGAAAGCTGCGTTTCTTGCCTGTAGAGGATTGTAGAGGAGAAGCTTTCAGACATACATATGTCACATGTTAGTACACATCACAAAGTGCATACTTTTGGGAGGAGCAATATCATGCTTTCTGTTGAAGGAACGCTCCACGCGAACCGGTACTTGCTCCTGGTCCGCATAGAAAGTGCAGGCTGCCTCTGTCTGTGCCACCCAAGTGGGTTATCTTGTATGGGAATGGTTGGTTGGGAAAGACCTGGACACTTTAGACCTAAACCCCGATTTTTCCATGTATATAGGCAAAAGCAACAGTTGCCTCGGAGAGTCGGAGAGGCTTGATTTGATTCGTCCATTCAAGCAATCCTCCTTCAGAAGTCTGCCAACATTGAAATGTTCATGTAAGGGGGTTGGCGGGTACTTTCTGCCATGGACGGAATAAATTTGTCTATAGCTATGGTTTGTCTGAAGAGAGGCTTCTTGCGACCGCAAGAACAAGAAGTATTTCTGCCGCAGCAGCTGCAAGATTACACTACTTGCTTGGGGCTTCAGAAGCACCCAGTCTTGATGTGACAACAGCAAACTGGCAGATAGATGATGTCAGAAGCATGTTTGATTCATTTGACGAACGTGCACTTCGAACCTGTCAGAATCTGAAGATCCAGTTGCCTCCATCAGATCTGTCGGCCCGACCCTCCCAACGCTGCCCGAGTCCCCCTGGACCGCCTCGGGAGATACAGCGACCCACACGGCCTGACGAGAGTGTCAGGAGTAGCTGCTTCGGAGACTCCAATTATTCAACAACATAATAGTCCAATTACATCCTCAGGAGTTATAGCTGAGATACATCGCTTGGAGGATGCAGCTGGGTTCTCCAGAGTTTGCCCATTCCTTCGCTGCTCCTGCTTGTGGCCATTCCGAAACGCAAAGGAAGTGTTTCTGAGATTATCGAATAGAACTACAATAATCTCTACATCCTGCTACAAAGAATGGTCACCCTGGTCTATGCCCCCCCAAAAAGAAACAGCTGCTGCGTCCCTTCAAGCTACACCGGCGAGCCAGAAGAGCGCCTACACCATCCTCTTTTCGTCGAGCCGACCTCCTACACCAGTGGCCGAGCTCCAAAAACTTCGGACCACGCAGTGGCCACCGAACGCTGGACCAGTGGCAACCTCCGGCACCTTTGGACCAGGTCCGGCATCGTTTGAAGAGCTTGGAATAACCAGCCCAGGCTCGATGTGAAGCTTCATGTGTAGTATCAAGCCTTTTTCTTTAGGAGGCTTCGTTTGGATCAGCTTTGACTTGATATGAGTAGCTGTGCACCTGTCCAAAACAGTGTTGAGTGATGATATGTGAACAAATGGTGTTGCACCAATAAACATCACCCATCACCCTACAGGAATGTATCCTTCTGAGAACTCCTGGATCAAAATCCCAAAACCGATTCTTGGCGAACACCCAGGTGCAAACGATGGATAATGCTGAGGATGTTGTATCTCTTTTGACTATGACCGGGCGTTTGTGGTTATAGATCCTTTTTGGAAGGCAGGAAGCAAAACACTCGTACATAGCATCATATACAATCCAAAACATTATATTCATATGTAAAAGTTTAAACCACTAGAGTTGTCGTGCGTGGAAGTTTCTTCCTTCAAAAGTAGTAGCCTAGAAGTGGGTCATCCCACCTAGGTCTATTACCAATCAACAAAAACACCTTGGCTCATTGTTGCCACGCCAAACCATTCGGACAGCACTGTTTGGCTGGAAAATTGTGAGGCAAGTCTCGGTTTACTGGCAGCATTGTGATCAAGCTGGGGAAAACTGTCAGAAATCGATTCATCATCACTGAACGCCGTACTCCACGCAAAATCACGTGAAGCAACAAACACATGCGCAACATCTTATATAGAATCTCAGAAACATTCCAATACTATTTGACATTGTCTCGGATGGACTTTGACCTGGAGAAAAGATTTTAAACACACATGGTCAACATTGGTCAAGATTCCACCTGGCCAAAACAAACAACAGGCTTCTCTCCAGTTGACCTTAACACATATCAATTCGTTTTACTCCCCAAGATCACTCGGAACTGACGATGTCGGCTTGGCTTTCTCAGTCTTCGGGCTCCACGAACTGAATTCCATTCATACCTCGGTCCACTGCGTGGGCGCTTCTCATCGAGAAGCGAAGGACGAGCGGAGGATTTTCGATATGGTCCGATCGAGTCTTTACCAGGCCTCCAAAAGATATTATATAATATACTCATATGATGATAACCTCCAAAAGATATTATATAATATACTCATATGATGATAAGAACATTATCAGGACTAAACCACCTGATCAGAATGAGGAAAAGGATATCATGATAGCTTCGGATGTCCAGGAAGAGCCACGATGTTCGATCATGCTGAGGGGATGAGGAATGGGTTTCCATTTTCCCACCCCATCCCCTCATCCTGCCCACTCATCCACTTATCCACTGGGTCATACTTGGGGTTTCTCCCATCTTTTGAGACATGGCGCCTCTCTCGCCTTTGGCAGGGGATGGAAGACCAATGCTTCAGCTGCGAATGCTTCAGGGGAAGGTCTGACTCTGGATCTGACTGGATGGGATTCTGAGGTTCGGATCCAAGCGGCTTCTGCTTGGATCGAACGTGGTTTCTGTGGTCTTTATCGGAATTCGACACCACCCAACCCACGAAGATACACAAAAGGTGGGTAGTGACGACCTGTTTTACTACATCGGCTAAATTCCTCTGGGCCTGCACAACATGTATGGACATGTATGGACATTTATCTACGATAACTTACCAAAATGATCTACAATGCAATATTAGCTATCGATTGTCGCTAGCTATGTCACTCACCCATGCCTGGAACATACAAGCGAATCTCCTTTCATTGATCAAAAGCCGTGCAGGTCTGAGGCAGCTGATTACTAAAGATTTGAATCTTCAAGGGCTTCAACTTCTGATCATCGAGATATATATATAAGTAATCATATATGGTGAACAAAAACAGCATCCGGTTCAGCCATTCCACAGAAGTCCACGGGTGATACTATGTTACTCTATAGTAGTGGTTCAACACGCGACAGTCCAAACAAAAGACCTACGCTTGCCGAACGCTTGGAGCCACTTGGAAACCGAGTCACTGGTTCCGACGACGCCTTAGCCCAGGCTGGGCACCAGTCAGGTACCGTAGGAGGGTCGGGAATAGAAATCCTGCACCAGTAGAGAAAGGACTGTAACTAGCGGTACCTTTTACATCCTTTTACCCACTCTTGCCCTGAATAGGTTAACGATTAAGTCGGCTAAGTTGAGCAAAGGCCAGGATAGGTGCCGATCTTCCAGGCGGCAAAGGTCGATCTTCCAGATTTCCTTTAAGATCTTTCCGATCGGCTTACACAGCCCCAGCTTTGTGCCATGCGAGTCGCATGGGCGAGGACGGAAGAACAACGCAACGAGTCGCCTCGAGGAACGCTGGAGCCTCTTTCGATCGACATGCCAAAGCAGCCGAGGCTCGACTAGCCTTTCCAGTGATCCCCCAACAAGGTCTTGCCGTGAGACGTCCGGGTACCAAAACAATTTGATATAGCTGGTTCTACATTGGTCCGGGTTGAAAATGGTTGAAACCTTGGCCTTGAAATTCGCCAATAGGACTTTCTGGGTGGCAGGCTCATATCAGTCACTCAGCCTACCGCTGTCTGTAGCCTTAACGAAAAAACCTAGCAGCTGGATGATCTACCTCGAAGCGGACCCCACACGGTCCGGATGTTGATGGAAAGGGATGGAATGGGGGAGCTTGAAGGATTCCGATTCCATCGGATTCCACCCAAATGGCCGTCATAGATGTCATAGGACATAGAAGCATGCACAGTTCCTCATAGTTCATCTACATTTGCCCAGTGCTTTTTCTTGAGGTAGTAGACGTTCCTAAATTATATAACATGGTGGAGTGGCACAGTGGGATTCCTTGCATCGGTTGCTATGGCTTTGAACTCCGGCGCCCCTGACTCCCCCTGCTGTTGCCAAGCGACCCTTCTTCATGTTCCTGCCACGGAAGCCATGAGCTACGGAGCAAAAACTGGGCACCAATCACTGGATACAACCATTTTTCCATCGCGCGCGATCCACACAACGCTTTGCTGAAGCATGCTGCTTCTTCAAACAAGACCAGGCTTACAGCGGCTGTGGCTGTGATAACACAATCGGAGGTTTGAGGCCGAACGAGTCTGTCTGAATCTTTTTAAAGGTCATTGAACCTTCAAAATTCATGCTATGCAAAACACAGGCACCAGGCAATACAAGAGTCCAAACCGCTTGCCGCTTGTCAACCAGAGTTCCAGGATGTACCAGGTAATCATCCCGTCTGTAACACTTGAATTCTTTCACGTCACCTTGAATCTCACCCACACCACTTACCTCCCAAAACACCCAACCCCCATCTAAGACCAAAGCTACCGGACCGCCATTCTGATTCATCCTCGTTCCAGTCCCACTCCCGTCCTGCTGACTCCACTGGGTACCTTGGACCTCGCGGACAGGTCGCCACTCCGCGTCCAAGCAGAGCCGTCGGGAAAAGTCAAGGTCTTCCCGTCGAACTTGGCGGTCTCAGTGTGAGCGGCCCGGAGCAGCGAGGTCTTGAGGTGAGGAGTACACTCTTGGCATTCCAGCCACCCCCAAGCGGCTGCAAGCGATAGGAAAAGGTCCAAGAGTAGGTGTAGTTCTGGAAACACCTCTGGTCAACGATGTTCCATCTCCAAGCTAGTAGCTGACAAATGTCGAGTAGACATCTTGAATAATCTCTGTTCAGGACTTGGTGCCTTACTCCGACTCCAAAACTTGCAAGTCATCCTCCAATTTCTTTAGTATCATACATGTATCATATCCCTTACAAATTTACCAAGCAAATTTTAAGCTGAAGGTGTTAAATTCCCTCTCATCTTTTCAGCTTCAGCGTATATAATCACATCTATGTCTATATAGAGAGATTTTAGCTTTTCCCCCAAGCATCTCTTGGGAGTTCGAAGTGTTTCGAGTCCAAGGCGCCACTTTCGACCCTCCACGCTCAGCAAAGTCCAGGGTCACTTGGTCTCCCGCCATGCGGCCTCTTTTGGCACCAAAAAGCGACTGAAGCTGAAACTGCAACGAGCATGTTAAACCGGAAGACAGAGGCCCCAGTAACCCCAGTATCCTAAAAAATGAACACATAAAGCATCCTAAAGCCCTTAGAGCCCTTAGCCTAAGCCATTTACAGTGTTGAGTCACATGCTTCGTCGCCGGCCTGGCACCACATACTTCACCTCCTGCTTGCCTTTGCATGATCGACCTCTGTCTGGGTCCTCCACGCGCGGCTCACGCGCACGTGCAACCCGCGTGCGCAGTACTTGTCACCGAAGAAAGGTGAACTGTCTGGGTCGAGTAAGCAGTAGATGCAACAGCACAAAAAAATGGTCTGGTACATCCAGAAACATCAAGAAGACATAGAATGTCAAGAAACTATGTTGTAACTGGTGTGGGGTGCATGTGGTCATGGTCTTCGCGGAGGTACAACCTGTTAATTCAGGGAAAACAGATGTTCCAGGATACCACCGACATAAAAATGCAAGCGGTAGAAAGGTCTTTACCCACGGTATGCATATGTATGCATGTAAAATAATGTAGAACATTGTAGAATATGACTTGTGAGATGAGCACCAATATTATAGGTATTGACAATTCCCCGCTTCCCCACGCTCTTCCCCACCCAAACAGGTGATACTTAACTGTTCTTCTTCTTTGTCTTCTTCTTCTTCTTCTTCTTCCTGACTCTGTATTTTGCTAGTTGATTCAGTTGTACGGCTCAGAACAATGCTCTTTGACACGTCTGGTGTCTGGTATCCAGGGAAATGATCAAATCTCCTTCATGTTCAGCTGCACCTCGCCGTTGTTCAGCGTAATGATCCTCCTCTTGCAGCCCGGGTAATCCGGATCCTTAAACGATCCGGAAGGACTGAGGCCATGAGAGGTATCTTTCTACTGGATGAAGTGGAACTCTAACCACAATGTATAATTTCTCATAACCCCAGAGTTGTGAGTAGTTTCCAAACTACTTTGGTGGATTTATCTGCGGACCTGTCTAGAAGATGAATCCGGCATTCAATGACAGTAGTGACTCCTTATCTGCATGGGCGAAAAAACGTTTTGTTAGGATATTTTTTTGCAGCGGCGCTGGACGTCCATTGCTATGCAGCCGCGGATGAAAAAGGCCAAATAATCCAGTTTTTCTGAGCGGACTGAAGAAAGTTCCACTTACCTTCACCCAGTTTACAGTCCCACCTAATGAATCCAATTGACCCGCCAAATGCCAAAGGAACCCCTCCTCATCCAAACAAGTGGCTTGTGAGGCAAGTTTGGATTTGAATGCCAAGGTCACATGAGCACTCACCCACGCTGTTTTCTCCATGGATCATCGTAGTTCCCTGCCAGCTCGGCGGCCCAGGCCGAAAGCGGGCTGCCTTCGGCAGAGACGAAGCCGGCAGAACTTCTATTGCTCCAACAACGAAGACGACAACAACAACATTTACCTACTCCTACTGCTGCTCCTGCTCCTGCTCCTGCTCCCGCTCCTGCTCCTGCTCCTGCTACTGCTCCTGCTACTCCTACTCCTACTCCTACTACTACTACTACTACTACTACTACTACTACTACTCCTGCTACTACTACTACTACTACTACTGCTACTACTAGTACTACAAATACTATTTTACTTGTACTACTCTCTTTGGGGATCCCAAGCAAAGTGGTGCACCCTGCCCCTGTGAGCTTTACTTCTCCAAGCCACTGAGCACAGGCGCCAGTGAGGCCGCCAGCAGGGCCTCACGCCGCTCCAGAGAAGCTGCTCGACCTCAACACGACACGAGCGACGCGCCAACGCTACCGCTGCGCTCCCGCGGGGAATTTGAGGACATGCGGTTGCCGGCGGTTTCCCAAAAGTGAATCATCAAAGAAGCTGGCGCCATCTGGTACCCTGTCCACAATTCATGATTCATGCTTCAAATGAGAAAGCCTCACCTTTAAATATGTTGTCTTTCATAAGGGGAGGCCGGTTGGATCAGACCGCGGGAATATCAGAATGGACCTGGATTTGCATTCCCTTCTGATACTTGGACTGCTGCGCACTGCGCTCACTCACCCCTTGCCTTTTGCAAGCACATTTGACGGATGTTTTGGCCCATCCAATGGATTGGTCCACCCTCTGGAGGGCTCTGTGCCCACCATTCCCCTAAAACAACCATCAGGGGATCAACCAACCTGGTTCCCTGATTATGCAGCACAAAACCATCTTTACATCATACATTGATGCGTCACTTGACCTTGTTCGACATGGAAATTACTGTTCCTGAAATGAGTGCACTGTTCCAAGCTGATCATGTGCGGCATGTCCTCTAATCAGTTCTGTGTTGGACACTTCTTTACACCGGTACCTCTCAACCGCCAGGTGCGGTTGACCCGCCATGCGCGGTGGGTCAACCCCTCCAACCGCACGTGAACCGAAGAACTATATGGGAACCAACGGAGAAGGGGGTAACAAGAAGAAATGGAGAAGATCCATTTGCTGGTTGGAATTACAGGAAGATACCTGATCAGGAAGAGTTTTGCCCTTAATTATAGGAGGTTAAATCTGATCCATTTCCGATTCCAATCATCATGTAGCAAGAGCCTGGCAGTTTGAATAAGGTTAACCACTTCGACATCCCTCAGTGTTGTCATGTGTTGTCCTCCTTGACACTATGGTTCGTGGCCCCGTACGCCTGACAATTTTCCACAAAGCACAAACTGTGGAGAAAACGTTCCATGTGGTCATGTGGTCGTGTGTAGGCGGGTATTGGCAATGAGATAGACCAATCTTGGCACACACTTCATCCACCACATCTCCTTGAAGCACGCGACGTCGACCGGCTTGGAGGAAGCTCGTGGCAAACCTCACAGCGCAGTGAGAAAAGCGCGCAAAGCTGCCAAGGAAGGAGATCAGGTGAATAGTGAGTTGGGCAAAAAACAGGTTGCTGAAATGATCAGGAGGTACGACTTTGACACAAGACCCAACTTATGGTTGGAACAAAGCCAACTTACGGGATGTGCTGGGCAAACCGGCGGTGTTGAAGCAAGTGAGACGTCCCATTGGTGACTGCCCTATGGAACAAGGCCAAGGGGTGGTATGCGCACATCAAACACCGTCAGACTGGCTAACTTTGTGCTATCTACAAAAGACAATTGAAAAAGAACACAGGTTGTTTTCTCCCTACTCCGTGTCGCGGCGATATGCGCTGCAGCACGCGCAAGAACAAAAACACCATGATCGCCTCAGCGCTATGTCGTCCCCCAACCTCTACCATCTCCTGAGCGGCGATGATGCTTATAGGTACCCAAAAGGCAAAGTTTCTTGGCCGTCTTCTACCTTCCGTCAAGAAGCCCGAAGAGCGCCAGCACAGCGACTCCTGGATGGCACACCGGGTCACCGGGTCAGCGGCCGGTGTTCGGTCTCTGAGTCGTCTGGTCCACCTTTTTCGGGGTCCCGTGGACGTTCCGAGAGATGTTGGCAGTAGCCCCATAGCCGTAGCCTGTGGTGTGCAAGGTGCAAGAAGGAAGAAGTTCTACATCACTACAGAGTCTAGCCAGGTATGAAACAGCTTCCCGTTCAATGAGACTAGTCCCAGTACATACTTGAATAGTCTTCGTTCACCACTAGTCTTTGCGACCTGCCATGCCGGCCATGCATGCTTGGCAACAAAGCCAAGAAGCTAACCGTTTTACAGGAAAGAGACTCAGGTACTGCAAACACGTAAAGCTACAGAATGGAACAAGGCTCTGATTGGATTCGTCTTCTCATGAAGTTTCCGACTGTTTCAGGTATTGGAAATTCAAAGGAAACTAGGCGAAAAAGACATTCATCATCGATTCATCATCACAGCTCTACTGATATCATTCATAACTTGCTTCATGAAAGAAGCCTATCATGCTTATCATTCACTCAACTTTCAAGCAAGAAAGCAACTGCTTGCATACGGAGGGTTCTAGATGCCTCAAACATAGTGACGTCTGCAAAAAAGAATGCAAGAGATACTGCAAAGTGCTATGAGACTATCCGTTTGGGTTTATGCTTCAATATGATTCAAAAGGACGCCGTGAGGTTTGTGGTAGTCATGTTCAATCCACGCTTCGAAGACATGCAACCATCCAACTGGGGAACTTGTAGTTGCACACCTCCTCCAATGAACATGGAAAAAGCAACATGTGTCCGTGTCTGATTATTTTGTCAATCACTATATGGACTCAACTGCATGTAGCTCCAAATCACGCACCAGCTTGCGGAGGACACTCTCGAATAGCATGGGAGATCTATGTGGGTTTCTTTTTTTGGTACATAAATGTACTCTGGGGCGGTGTAAGTAATTAGTCTTATATTGTATATTAAGTTATGTCATAGTATCCAATGCTTGTGTTTGTGTGTCTCCTTTCCAACCCGCGACAGCAGGACAACACGCACTCCTGCCACACGCTGTCCAGGACGTGCCATGATGCGAACAATTATCAACCAATGCGTCAGAATCGACTTCTATCAATGGCAGTCTGTGTTCATCAGTTCTGGGTGTCTATTTCAATGTTCAAAAAATTGTATCATCGAACCATATTCTTGGGTAGCTGGATCATCCCAATCACATGCCCAACACATGGAACCAAATGCTAATGCCAAAGCTCCGAGCCAAAGTAACAAAGGAGAACGGGAGTTCAAAAAACGTAGGAGATGGACATTGGAAAATCAAGACTGGCGCCGACACTCTCCGGCACTCCTGTCAATTTTCGACAAAATACAGTAGAATACCCATGAATACCCCATACGTTCTCTGTGTAGGTCGTCCAAGGATCACTCCAGGTCTGTCGTCCAAGGTCTGTTCATTCCGGGAAAAGACCGCCTTGAGGCCTGTGCAATGACTGTCACTAGTTCAATGACCTTTTTGTCCAGTCTCAACACGGAAAACCAGTCTCCCCAATTTTGAGACAAGCTCATCCAAACTCCTGACTATACTCTGGGACTCTGGGTAATTGGAGAGTCTGTCATGGACAAGCCGCGGATGTGTGTCTTACTTGTCTGCAAATCCATTTCCTGAGGGTCACGAGTATGACAACCTCAGATCTAGCAAACCAAGAACCACCTCCTTGAGGTTTGTCTGAAGACAAACATTGAGTTACGGAATCAATCCACACCCAAGCGGTAAGGTCAACCATCACCTGGGTAAGGATATGGAGATTAACCACCACATGACGCGGCCTCGCGCTGCTTTTTCTTCTATGACATCCCCTTGGGAACCCCGTTGACCAGGGAGCAGCTTCCTCAGTGATGACGAGTTCCGTGCGGTGTGTTTTGTCAGGATGCCCAAGTCCAAATGACATACAAGGGGATGCTTTTGGAATGTGTCTTGCAATCTCTGGGGGCATCTGGAGAGCTCTGAAAAAGAACTGAACAAACATCATCGAGGAATCCACAGAAGGCGCACCTCCACCTAAGCGCCTGAGTCGGTTTAGAGATAAAGGAGATTCTTGGAGTCGTCTTGAGAAGTATTGTCTTCCATAAACTTCCAAGACCGATGCGGTCTGATGACTCTGATGCGGACCGTCTTTGGTATCTTTGGTTCCAATCCGTGAAGGTGGGGTGAAATCCACCGAAACACTCTTCCGCCAAGGAAACTGGATCTTCTTTGCGCCCAGTGCGAACTTCTTCTTCCCCGTGGGCTTTGGCAAAGCGTGCTGAAAGAGGGTGTCCTGAGTGGTTACCACATCTGGACCTTGCACACTATATGATGAACTTAAGCACGAAGCTTTATGACGGACCTTTAAGCACAAACAGTCTCCAAAGTTCGCGTCCAAGTTGTGAGTCGGTCGGAGTGCATCTGGATCCCAGTCGTCAACCAAACAAGGTCCATGTGGTCCACTCCAGCAGTTGTGCCAGGAATAAGAACAAGGGGCTGAGTGCGAAACCCTTGCAGTTCTGCATGTTTTGCCATCAAAGCCGGGGTTCACAACATGTTTCAAGTTGTGATTGTGGTGGTCTGTGCTAAGAAAACATTTCTGGTGTACGCGTCTGCTTCTTCAGTTTGCATGCGGAGAGACCAGTTGATTTATCCAGAGCTTAAAAAGTGGTCTGACTGGCAGGTCCTGCGATGGAAAGACAACCTCAAGTGCTTCGGAAACAGGTGCAAGACCACAAATAGACCACAACAACTCAAGGATCCCAGACTCAGCGTCTTTTTGTGGATTGCCCTGATGTACCTGGACTGGTGAAAAATACACCTATCGAAACCCATCGCTCCCACATTGACTGAGAAATCACATTGTCTGCAAGTCGAATGGCCCCTGGTTTCAGCGTCCAAGTGTTTCTGCCCACTTAAGATCATGATCTGGAAATGCCACTCATCACCGTTCGAATCCACTTGAGCTTCTTGGAGTGTTTCCAACACCATTGTTGACTGGGTGCTCCGCCTTGTCCGAGAATCCTAAAAACACATGGATTAGCCAACAAAACTCCCGCACACGCCCGGCTGGCGGCCCAAGTCCTAAGTTTCACTGCCGCCCCAGTCGCATGGTGGCACTGCCGCCCCAAGGCATCCATGAGCAGCTCCAATGCTCGCAGCAGGTGCTCAGTGTTGAGTTCACCCAGCTCTTCAAGGACCAGTGCCTCGGTCAGTCCCACACAGCGGCTCTGGTGGAAGAAATGAATGGGTACTGCACGAGTATGGGGACCCAGTGGCATTCAGATCACGTTTTCAATCTGTTTAGTTTAGAGTTTAGGTGTGTAAATAGAAATAAGTTTCCTGAAGGTTGTGTCTTTCAGAACAGGCAAAGCCACCTCAAATCACCTCCAGAATCTATAGAACATCTATGCACACTATAGCACTGTTCATGGGAAGTTAACCTTTCAGGGATGCTACTGACAAAACCAAATGACTTGGATCATTTTTCAGGTGACTTGGACTGCATTGCAACATAGGGAACCCTGCATTCCCGTGCGGCCCAGCCGGTGCCTGATAGAAATCTGTCTTCTTCTAGTTGTGGGATCCAGCTGGCTGTGTAAGAGACCAAGCCACTGAATACGTATTGCCTCCTAAGTCTTTCTTTTAGCCAGATTGCCGATGTATCTAACTTAGGAGTTCATCCATGTTTTCCAAAGGAAAGAGGCAAAAACCTTGGTTCCAAAGCTTTGGAGAGGGTTGGAGGGTGCCTCTGAAAGCACCTCAGAACTCTGAATCTCTTGGGACTACTGACTCCGAGCCGCCGCTGCTTCAATGGTGCTGATGCGACCCTCTTGGGACTGGCGCCGCCAATGGAACTGCGATTGACCTGCGTGGGGGGAGAAGGTAAAAATGAGAGTATATATTTGTTTTTGATTGTTTTTGTTGCTCCTGCGCCCAATACATGTCAAGATATGTCAAGTACACGGGGCATTGGTTTCATGATAATTTCATCGTAAGACGAACATGTATTTAAACAACAACAACGACGACGACGACAACAACAACAACAAGGTACAAAGAACAACTGCAGCCCCGTTACAACATATCTTGTTCCTTTGTCTCTACAAGGGGGTGGAAACAAAAACTGCAGCCCCGTTGTTGTTTTTTTGGACCCCCCCCCTCAAAGGTGTTGTTGTCTCTACCCCCTCCTAGAAACAAAGACTGGAGCCACGTTGTTGTTTTTTGGACCCCCCCTTCCAGAACAACACCTCAAAAACGCTAAAAATGGACCAGCCCAGACTTCAGTGAAACAAGTCCACCTACTGTTACTGACGAAACCAACATTCGCTCAAACCTTCAACTGTATCCCTAACCCTAACCTTGTCCCCTTGAAGTTCCAAAGTTACAACATGTGACAATTATGTTGGGCGGCTGTTTCTGTTTCTACCAACAACAACAGCTGCTGCTACTACTACTATTACACTACTACACATTGACAAATCACAAAAACTGCCGGTCTCTCTACCCCTGTGACCCTGATAATCTCTTACACCATCCATATTCTCCTGACACAACCACGAAAAACAGAGAACACCGGCATGTGTGCTTCACGGTGTTCCAGCCGTGTGACATTGTTCTGCTCTCTCCAGGCCTTCTGGAAAGACCACCACGTGCTGCATGTGCTCGAAATGCTTGTGCATCCTGAAGCGCGTCCCCGTCTGATGCTGGTTCATAGGAAGATGTTGGGATTTTGGAAGGATTTGTTCGCAAGTTCCCCCTCCGAAAAAGCAAAGCACCATCCCCAACACCAAGACATTGTTTCAAGAAGAACAAACCATTTGCATCATTGATGTTCTAGCTTGCAACACCCTCGTTCTAGATTAGGAATGAGGAACTGCCGGAACCGCCGTGCTTGGCTTTTTGACTGCTCACACACACACACAACCCCCTCTGTCTGTTTAAGTCACATCGACCTCATCACATGGGTGTTCCACAAGGAAGTCACAAGAGACATGGATCCTCCAGACTGGACCAGACTTCCTCGTTCGGAACCCGTTGTTGGTTCTGATCCAAGTCTCCGCTGTGCTTGATTCCAGGTTCCATCGATGAGCACGGCCACCGGAGGAGAAGCTCCGCCGTGCGTCGCGACCGGCCACGGCGACGCGACCGGAACTGAGGACGCGCCGAGCGCGACGGGGATGGGCACAGCATCTTCGGAGGGGTAGAGGACAAACCTGGAGCGAAGTCCAGAGTTGTTGGAATCCAAGAGATATCAATCAGACTGTACAGTAATTTGGTAGTCAATATAGAAAACAACACATACATATCCAGGGTGCTTCTTGCAATTCCAATTCTCATTGGGTGCCCCTCAGCCAGGCAGCGCTCTGCGGCCTAGAATGAGCTCTTGCAGCTTTTGATCGTCTTCAGGTACGCCATCAATCAAGATGTCCTCGTCATCAACATGAAAATAGAAAGGATTGAAAGGGCTGGTCATTGGAGTTGTTCAATTCTATAATCCTATTGCATTCTTTCAAGCAAACAGCTGCTATTCAGCCACATCTTCTGATACTATGTGTCCTCATCAATCAAATTCCCCAGTGGTTGGACATGGCTTTCTAATAGGTTTTTTCCTTTGTATGCTCATAGGATCGAGCTCGTCTTTGGAGGGACATCCGCCCTTGTCTCGTGGTCCGACGAGTCCAGTGCCAACATGCCTCCCACCTTCGGGTCGGCGCACCGGTTCCGTGCTGGGGAAATGTGCAGAACGACACCTGGTTGGTCGTTTCAAGAAAGGGTGAGGGAATCTGCACCTGAAACCAACACTTAGCAAACATTGCTCCTAGTAAGGCCAGCATGCCCTTTGTTCCTAGAGTCGGTGAAGTTGCCTCTTCTCTCTGTAGGACCTATGAAGGACCGACAGCATTCCACCGGATATCTTCGACAGAAGTGCCGAGGATCGGTATGGTCGGGCATCAAAAGCTTCAGCAGCTTTCCAGTGTTCGACGCACGTCTTCTCTCCTTGCACTGAAGACGGAGAACAACATCTCTTTGATGGCAAATGAATGTGTGGTGTATTCACACACAAAAAAAGAACACTCTTGGCAACTTCCAAGGCAATTAGTTTCGACCATAGGGCCTTAGGGGGTATACCCTACATTGAGAGTAAAACAATCATTCATATCATGGGGCTAATTGCCCCTCTTTACATACAAACTGATGTATGATATGTATATATATACACACATGTATATATCTAATATATATATATATCACGTCATTATACAAAATTACACTATCAATGCCTGGCCAAAGGGACTGCCGCGAGAAGATCTTTGTGGGTAAGACCATTCGGGATTCACAACATGAGCTTTCTAGCAGCTGCCGCAACAATATCGTTGCTGAGGATTGCATTTCTGAGTAAGCCATAGGCTACCGCAGCTGAGACTAGGGCTATGTTTACTCTGGTGTGGGAGTACGTGAACAGATTTAAGTTTGGGACCTCAACGAAACCACACTGTGCCGGTCGTCTCCTTGTGATGCATCCACACCACGAAGTGCAGCGGCGCACGCGCATTGAGTGCATCCAGCGACTCGCGGCGAATGGAGTGGATGGATTCGCAAATGCAATATTGGCCTTGGAAGCGACTGAACCCTGCAGTTGACCTGGAAAATCAAGGGAGTTCCACTTACTAAACAACATAAACTATAACCCATGAACTTGCTCCACGGATTTTTAGCGGGAAAACCGATTCCCATCGATACCCTGTTTTGATGGAACGATGGTTTCGCGGACCCTGGACATTTCTGGACCGGAAGCCAAGGTTCCAAACACCACACAGTGGGTGTTCCACGTCGTGGGTGAGTTGCAGGGTAGCCCCCCAAGGAATATAACTCCAAATGTTCCATATAACACGACGCTCTTGGAGTGTGAACTACTTTGCAAACGGTCAAGCTGTGATATTTCATGGTATTTCATAAACGAACAAACACACAGGGACCTCCGCTTTTGGCCCCCTGATGCATGCTCGGCTGAGACACGCTTTGGCTCTTTTGGGGGGTGCTGCTTTGGTGCCTTTCCATACCAAGCCAACATCCAGAGGCGGCTTGGTTAAAATAACTTATATACAAGAGTGTGGAGGGTAGTTAGTTTTACATATACATCAACATGGGCAAGGAGTGGGGATGTGGAAACAAGTCAGATTGACTCAAAACGAAGGGCCGAATAGCTCAATGAGGACTTCAAATCAAAAGAATAAGGTTCACGATGAGGAAGGCATTCGCAACAGTGGGAAGAAAGTCGATTGACTGAATTGTCAGGATTGTTTGGGGCATGTTGGGGCCACCTGTGAGAACAAACCAGCTGACCCTGTCAGGAGCTTACATCTGCTGCTGCTGCTGCTGCTGATGATGATGATGATGATGGTGATGACGGTGATGATGGTGGTTATGATCAGCACTTGCGGGGGTTGAACAAACAGTCCAGCTGCTCCCATGTCCAGCTATGATTTATTGGAATAGACAGTGTGACATATGTTGGGTCCCTTTCACAGAACTTCCGCGATTTGTGGCGATATCAAACACATTGCTCAATGTGTCTCATTTCCAAATGTTGTCAGCTTGATGTTTACTCTTCCATGCCCACTATCACTCTCTACTGCATTTGCCGATTGTTACTACTTTCTTTCACTGCTGCAAATCATCAAAGAACATGAACAAAAGGAACTGCTAAACGTGATCTTGTTTCCACTCCTTTGTTGACACCGGACAAAAAGAATGAAACACTTTCTCAAGCAAATCGAGGATTGGCTTTGCAACATGCACTTTTCGCACTTGCCTTCCTCAGCTGAGCCAGAGTTTCGCTGACAAGCAGCTTGGGGCAAGACTTACTTGACTGTCTCGACTAGATCTCATTGGAAGCGAAACCTGCTTGGAAAGTTCCTGTGACCAGTCACAGGGAGGATCATCAACCAGCTTCGCTTGGAGTAAGCTGATATAGAATGTAGTTTCAGTTTAGTACAGGTTGTCAGGACACTCCTTTGAGGGAAGCACTGAAGAAGCTGACGTGTTGATTGTCACTGGACCATGCTGTCTTAGCATCGTTATGACTGATGCCATGCTAGAACGAACTACCAAACAAAACTGCAGCCATCACACTACTGTTTGCGAACAACAAACAACAGCAAAACACATTGTTTTCATTTTCACCGATCTCAACGTGTCGTATCGGGGTCTTTAACCCACAGGCACCTGTTTGTGGTATGTTGACATCTCATACCCATAGCAACGCTGCTGACATCTCACTCATGCAATCTCAAGGTTAACAAATTTGAAACAATCGAAACAATCTAACTTTAAATAAAATCGAAACTATACCATTTTAAAAATAGAACTACAGCAATCGAAGCAATCCCACTTTAATCCACTCTATCCAGGCTCTACAGCCGGACCGTCTGACCTGCTCTATGGCTGCCAAATGAAGAGTAGTTGGACATCCACTACTCCGTTCAACTACTTCAACTACCATCTCCACTCCATCCAAGCACTTTCCAACCACTCCGCACTCGATTGACTCCATCCAGGCATCTGCCCTCATCTCTTCCTCCACCTTCTCTGCTCTCATCCGTGCTAGCGCCTGGTGCCGCTCTGCCTCTGGGAGCGCCAGCAGCTCGCGCAGCTGCTCGTTGGGGCGCTGGACAGCGGCGCGGCGCCGGGCGTAGAGCCGGACTGCCGCAGAGTCCTGGATGTTGGATGCGGCATTTGGTTCACCTATCCTTTGCTAGTAGCTTGGTGCTACTAGTATATAGTAAGGCCTGGCACTACTAGTAGCGTCCTTGCTCCTAGTAGCGATGCCCTTTGCTACTATAGACTATAGTAGTTTCTTGTTACTGGTCATTGGCGGTCACTTGGTGGTTTTGGTTGGTCTGGTACGTTGGTTGCATGGGTTGGTTTGGAGTGGTTGGTGGTTTGGCATGTTGAATCTAGACATAGTAGTTTGATTTCCCTTGGTTGGTTCTTTTTGGTGGTCTGTGGCATAGCATTGCAGGAACTCCCAACTGAAAAACTGCAATGGAGGGGAACCCACTGCACCAACCACACCCCAAATCACTTGCGGCCGGCATGGGTGCTTGTGCTTCAGCAAACATTCCTCCCAAAGCTGAACTATCATGATCAAAAACTGTAAACATACATATACATGAACCTTGGTGTTTAGTTTAACTACCAACAAAATGCATGTATCTTTGCGCTATGTACCGTAAAACACACAAAACTATACTCGATGCACAAGACCAAGCAAATCAGCAGCTGTCTTGCCACTGCGTCTTACATGTATAACTGTACGACGTGTTAACATCACACTATACAATAGATAATTGGCCAGGTTTGCCAAAACCTAAGTTGCAATCACCATCAAAGGCCCCTTGCGCTCGCCCTTGCGCCTCCTTGTGCGCCCACATGTTCTGATACGTGTTGAGATTCTTTCTTTTTTCACTAGCCGGCAGTTGTTTGACAATGGTTGTGCTCATGCCCTGTCAGGCTGCTTTTCCAAACCTTTGCGGGACTTCCTCTTCTGCCAGTGGCTCCAAAGCTTCCTTTAGTTTTTTGCATCAGCAAATCTCGGATGCCACTTCGAAGGTCACGAATATGTTTAGCAGTCAAAGATCCATCGCCTGAAGCCTGCTCCTTGGGTTTTCTGATGTTTTCTGATTGATTTATGCAGCTTCCACTTGTTGAAGTTTTCCAGTAAAATGGGCCATGGGTCACATGGCATCGCTGGCCTTGCGCCTAGCTTGCGCTGACCTTGCGGAAAATATATGCAACATTCTCACGACAATTAAGGACAAATGAAGAACATAGCCTAGCTGCAATCCACCTTGAGCCTTTGCCAAATAGCTACGAAATTATATGAAATTACAGAATCTCCAATATTGCCCGGTTCATCTCATATAAATGCACCTGCATTTCAATCTACAAATAATCTACATAATGAACTTGCGCTCGCCCTTGCGGCTGCTTGGGCTCACCAAAGAAACATTTACACGAAAATGCAAGGTCTGATTTTCACGTTTGCGTTTGGTCAAAATTTATGTTTCAGGGGTTTCGGTCGAACACAATTGGAGACAAGACAAGACATCCTTGACCTGCAAAAGGTACATGTCCGTCCATCGAAGCTCTTACACAGAAATATCGATCTGGTCTCATGACGGCCATTGATCAAAGCCAAATGCAAAATACACACCATCATGCATGAATACATCTGCGCAAGTCTGACACGGACAAAACATAGTATGCCCACAGTCTGGCTGATTGATGAGAGCGTGTGGGGTCCATCCGCATCAAGCGGCGGGGCGTGATGGTGTGTATGCCAGTGATGTTGGTCGATTGGCAGCCCCAAATGCATCGAAACCGGTTCTTGTTTGTTAGGCCCTTTGGTGAAAAAGCCCGCTCTGGTCTGTGGCTTGACCATCTTGCTAGTTGAAGTCCTCGAGAAAGTCGGGCACTTCCACTTCCTGTTGCTTGCGCTCTTTGCGCCAACGGATTGCCATGGCAAGGGATCGCGCATCCCATGGAACACAAAATGATGTTTGGAATTTGGAAACCATAATATATTGCATGCACAGCTCTCCCAACCAAACACATCTGTTGTCTTTTTGTGCTAACTAGTTCATTTCCCAACACCAAACTTGCCCAGACTGTTGTGTGAGATGTGCCATCCGTGTTTGGGAGGCTGAAAGGACCACCAGTTAAGTACTGTGGATGAGAAGAATAGTGGAAGAAGAAGTGAGCAGTTCATCAAATGACCGTCGATCAACCGCAGCCTCAACAGCTGCAGTCGCAAATCGACGCACTTTCGACGGTTTTAAGGTTTGCAGGCCGAACTCGCAGCACTCTTTGACATTGAGGTTTGCTTTACAGGTTTCAGCGGGGAGGGGGTTGCTTTCTCTGGAACCCGGTCTGGACTCCAACCCTTGGAGTTGCAGAGTTGAAAAAACTGTTCAAACCAGTCAGTATATAAAATAGATAGAATCTGGAGGAATCAGCAACTTATGACCATTTCAGTTTCTTCATCGGTTTGTTAGAGTTTGTCCCATCTCCTGTTATCTACAGAACCTAGGCCCTAGACGTGTGTCCGGGCAGCTGAGAACCTGATCATGGCGAAGGCTATGCGTGTATCATGACAAACATCTTCCCCTGATGAGCCCGTCTCCGGCTACGTCATGGCCTTTGCATATGCCGAACATGGTCGAATTCTCATTACCATCTCCAAGGTACCATCACCTCACTGATGGTATCACCTGATCAAACACTGATCGAATACCTGACTGATACCCATACACAATTACTTAGAGAATGAAAGCACCTCCTTAGGGTCACTTCAATCTACCCACAGGGACATGTTCGCACCCGTCGACCTCCGGTCGGGCATGCGAGGTCGTCGAGCTTGGGAAGAACCAAGCAAGTTGTGCAGGACGACACGGTTGAAACATAGAAAACGGCAGAGTGCTCCTCCGAAAGACAAGGTTGCCTCCACCACAAAGACTATACTGCAGGAACCCTTGAATGCCCCAAATCTGGATACCTCATCCAAACATTGAGCCCGACGACCGCATCCAAACATTGTCACAGTTGCTGGTGCAGATATGTATGCGGGGGATTCTCTATCCCTTCATTTCACGCAACCCCTGGCCCTGTTTCCGTGCGCTTCTTCGCGCCCGTGGCCTGCAAGGGTCATCTGCAGAACTGCAACCCCCAGAGCAGGGAGCCTGAATCGATGAGTCGACATCCGACAGATTGGCCATCCTAGTGCGCGATCGGCTGGGGATATGAGGGGCTGAGATTGCGTAAAGCCACAAATACTGGGAGCTAACCTTCCGGAACCATGACTGGCACCTGATTCCGAAAACCAAGATGTCGCAAGGTCTTTTGGGCGTGTCTTCAAGCAGGAAAGAAGCCAAACCAACCACATAGACGAAGCACAGGGTTGTGGAAAGTGTGCCTGTACTTGCCTGTTGAACCCTGGCCGAAGCTTGGGCCTGGCATGTGGGAGTTGTCCAACATAATTGTCTCTGAATTCCTCCTGGCCGCTTTTGCAGTTTCTGGTTACAGCTTTTCCTTTCACGAGGACTATAAAGATCATAGAACATAACATAGGTAAGTACGGTAAGTATATACACATTATGTATGAGGATCCATGCATCCACATGAGCATGCCTTTGCTACTGTCTCAGGCTGACGGGTGACTTCCATGAGCCCCTGGGAGTTTGCGATGCTCTGTGCATTTCCACCCAGATTGAACCAGCTGCTCCGCATTGCTCCGCTTTCTGCACTGGGAAGAAAACAAGAAGCCGTTCAGCTCCCAACGGCGGGGGGGTTGCATGAAACCACTCAAATGATACGAACAACACACAGAATCGCTTCGAGATCGGATGTCTAGCCAGTTTGTATAGGTCCATGTACACCGTTATCACATAGCTGGCAGAATCCGTCTGGTCACTCTGGTCAACGGCACGCCTCGCCCGGCGCGGCGGCACTGCCGCCGGTGCAATGGCCCCGATGGTGTGGAACTGCCCAGCAAACGCAGTGCGGTGGGCCTCATAGGAGGGACAGTGGTAACGGTTCAAAGTGGTTGATACTAGATTGGAAAGTAGGCTCGACTAGTGGAAAGCATTGGTAATGCAAATGAAGTCGAGCAAGTCCCAAAGCCTATGTAGAAAATAGACAAAAGGAACATAACCATAATATATCTAGATAATATGATACAGGTGAGTTGTGAGAGAGAGAGAGAGCCCCCTGCAGGGTACATGCTTTGAAGCAAGCAGCTGTCGTTTTATGTATGGCAGGGACTGATATTAACTCACGATCCACCTTCATGGTAAGTCTGTGTCAAACATGTCAAACGAAGCCTTCGTAAGCCCTCACTTTGGTCCTTGTAAAGCTGCCACCTTTCAATAACAGTAGTAGTTCCAAAGTGCCTGCTCTGCATACTGTAAGTACAATGATAAATAACAAACGTTGACCGGGTGAGAGAAGGAGATGCATGGGCCACCCAGTGGGTCCAATACAAAGGGCCCCAGAACACACTGGGGTTGTAGAAAGCGTTCACAAAGAAAAGCTAATAGAGTTTCTTCGCCACATCCAGTGATTCCTCCCCCTGCTCTCCCCACTGCAATGCTGGCGGAGAAACATGGTGTAGAAGCGCGGTCCGCATGTTCACGACGAAGACACAGCAGTGAATTCACTCATCCCAAAAATAAGCTGCCCTTTGTGAGCTGTGTCTATCTCTGCTCTCCCGTGCTTGCAGGAAGGTCTCAGCTGGTTGGTAGGAGAGGGGCTTCAGTGTGGATGGAGCAAACCAAACAGCTCAAGTACCGAAATTGGAATACCTGCTCTCAACGAATGGCTTGTGGATCATTGCCACATACAACCTGTGTACCCAAATAACTAAAAAAAAGTCTGCTGCAAACGCTCTTTCAACATTCCAGTTGCACTCTTGTCATGGCTTGAATTACATGCCTCTCGTCCAGATCAGCATTGGCTTGCGGGGCAAAACAGCAGCAGCTGACAACCCTGAACTTCCAGCCTGGCTCATTTTACCCCACCTGCCAGTCAGAATCCACCACCCAAATACCATAGATCGAAGTAAAATGAGTCATGACTGGACTCTCTGGGCAAGCTCTTCGGGTCGGATTTGGTGCGAACTTCTCTTCTCTGGTGGAAGAAAGCGCATCAGGGATTGATCTGCACCACCATGTTCTTTCAGGGTAGTGAGACATTTCTTCCAACTCCGATGTCGCAAGCCGGAGTTGAACCGGTCTCTCCCGAATCCGGCCACGCGCACCGTTTTTTCATTCCCCACAGGTGGGGCTCTCTCCCATGTGACGACCCACCTGTCACCCCGAAGTTACATGGCTCAGTGTTTCAGAGCCAAAGCAAAGAACAAACCTGCGAGGAAACTGCCTGGCAACTCTCGCAAGAAGGCGCGGAGCATGGCCAATAACATGGAGCTCAAGTCATTTCACCAGGATAGGGTTTACAAGTTCAAAAGGGAATGGAACTTTGAAGGGTACTCCCGCGTGACAATGACTGAAGCTTGCTTGGCAAAAACTAAAACAACTGCTACCAAGTCCCTGCATGTCACACTTCTTTTTGGACAAAAAAACTTCCCGATTCAATCTGAGCATTCATGCTCAATCAAAAATCACAAAAGCAACTTGGTTTCACTTCACCAAAGCTTGCCCCAAGAAGAATCATGAACCCAGAAAATTACCAATGACGCTCGTATACTTTACAGGTGAACATTTTCCAATTCAATACCTCGATCTTCAAGCTGAAGTCCACCCTAGTCCTTCGAGAGCTAGAATCTCCTTCCATGCGCCCCTTGAAGACGACCAGGGCATCGTGATACCCAACACACCATGGCCCAGGTTGCCTTCAACCGCCTCTCACCGCTGCAGTTTCCTCAAGTCACATGGCCTACGGGTCTTCACGACCGGGCCGCATCGCTCAGTTGAAGGCCACCTGCGGACTTGAGCAAGCACAAGTCCGATAGTACAAAGCTAATAGCAATGGCCTCCAACCTAGAAGAAACTATGTAACTTGTACAATGTGCATGGCAATCAGAAGCAAATGTTTTCCCCATGTCCAGTTTACACTTGCCTGGGGTATGGAACATGCGATGCCTTAGCATTCTTGAATATATACACGTAGATGTGAGTAGCCAAATCCACAGTGACCCCAAAGACCGGACAGGCTCGCAGCCTTGTCCATTTGTCCCCATGATTTGGCTCAGAAGATCCGTTATCTGCGACCGTTGGGATTCGCTGTTGGGGCTGTGTCACGACCTTGGGTGACTCGATAGCCCCGACGAATGAGGCGACCGAGTACATTTATACTATAGGCATTTGGGATCATCACCCAAGTGCAAACAAACACTCCAAGTGGCATTCTGAAAGCGAAGGTACACCAAGTGTGAAATGATCACCGGAGATGTCAACTCAAGTGATGCGCAACCGGTGGTTCTGTCAGCATACAGCAATGTGTCTCTGAAGTGGTCCAGATCCGACAAATGCCTCGCCCCAGCAAACGATCCCATAAACCCCGAGAATTAGACCCGTGGTGGAAGAGTATGCCATCCGCAGACCACCCCGACCGTGGTATCCAGGGGTGCAGTCCTGGACTCGTCTAGTCTATCGGGAGGACTCGTCTATCCGAACAGGTCATAGTATTCGACCAGTTCCATCCATCCAGCTTTCATCTCTGTCCATTTGCAATATCATGCAACACAACCCTGAGAGTTGCAGAAACCGGAGGCTTGGTTAGATTCGTTGTCCAAGTTTCTCATTTGTTCCAAACGAAGAATAACATCATATATCATCCATAAATAATAGCATAATAGCAAACAGGGGACTCAAGGCAAAAACTCGTAGGTCGCAAGTGCTTCTAATTCCAAAAGCTTCGGCAACCGTTTGCGGCCTTGTCAACTAGGACTCGACATGAAATGAGGTCTACCTTTCCAAGCGTCACAGGTGCTATACTTGGTCTTTAGGAGAATCAGGTTTCATGTCACCAAAATCCATGGGACCA